ATGCAAGTTTCTAATTTGTACACTTTTTTATATTAATAATAAGAGCTAATTTTTCAGATTATATATATTAAATAATATAAATGTAATAAGAACAATAGGAAATGATTTTATGCAAAAATTTGCTGGTTAAAGTTGTTGCGTTAAGTAATCAATACATTCATATGTAAATTTAACACATGTTTGCTTTGTTAACTGAACTTAATAAATATAAAATATAAAAAAGGCAATATTATATAACGGTTGATATATCGATTTATCGCGATTATTCGCCATTTTGCTTTTAATTACCAAATAAGAGATTAATGTTCTTTTTACATGCTATTAAATAAGCGACATATATAAACAAAAAAAAATGTATTACGAGCGAAGTTCGCATAATATACAATATCGACATTGCCAGGTTATGTATAATATACATAGACCCATATTCTCAACTCTTTTTTATCAATAAAAGCGCACTTTTTTATCGCTAAAAGAAAATTAAGAATATGAGTCATAATATATATATAAATACGTGATCTAATGCTAACATTGCTCGAACAATGTGCAATTGTTCGATGCAATGCTCGACATTATACACCATGCGAAGTTCACCCGTAACATATACATATACATTATTAATAGTACATTAATAGAAGCTTTTCATTTACAATATTTACATCAAAACTCAGATAATTCTAATTTGTAACAGATAATTCGATTCTGTCTTTATTATTCATTAATTGCCAAAAAGGATAGAACGACGTTACAAGTGAGAATTATCTGAGTTTTTTGATGTAAATAGAAAACACTTAATATATATTACACACAATATAATATACGTACATTACTTTTATTTGTAATGCTATCTATTTTTGGTAAATGTGCAGAATAGAGGCCTCCTCACCGATTTCGTTGAACTTAGGCTTAATCAACGCGTTTTTGCGTGAAACGAAAGAATCTGGCAGAAAAAAGCGTCGCTCTGCCCCGCAAAGCGAGATATTAACAGTTAAAGTTGACGAGTTTGACGACTATCATATTATGAGACCTGTCATATTGACAAGATATAGCAACTACGAACCATAGAGATATAAGAATAGAGCATGAATAGAGTATGCAAACAAGCTAAAAAAGCGATAGAGGAATAGAAAGAGAGCGTTGCATATGAGCCCCTGCTGTCTTTGTCTATGCGCGCATGTGCAGTTCATGGAAGATTACATATCGATGGTTAAGCGGGGAGCACACACTTAATCATGTATTAATGTGGAACGTGGAAAGTGAAAAGTTTTATATGACTATCTCTTTCTATTTAACATCAATAGAAAGAGAGATTTTTCATTTTTCACGTTTCCACCCTAGGGGAAAAGATTCATGATTGACCCCCTCTGCATAACGCATAATGCGTGAGCATAAGAAAATTGATTGGTCCATACACATGTGCATAAGAAAATAAAAAGTCTATCCAGACAAACTTGCATAGGTACATAACCATATGCATAAAGAAACGGATTGGTCTATTTCCTTATGCACATGCATATGGACCGATCAAATCTCTTATGCTTATGTTTATGCGTTATGCAAGTTCGTCTGGATTGAATTAAAGCGGGGAGCACACACTTCTGCATAACGCATAATACGTAAGCATAAGAAAACTGATTGGTCTATTTCCTTATGCACATGTGCATGGACCAATCAATTTTCTTATGCTTAAGGCCATCGCACACAAAATGCATAGCTTAGCATAAGCATAGCATAAGACCGCTAAACCAATGAGCATCCAGCATAAAGTCGCCATATTGATTTACATAAGATGCTCATTGGTCCAGCGGTTTTATGCTACGCTTATGCTAAGCTATGCATTTTGTGTGCGATGGCCTTTACGGATTATGCGTTGTGCAGAAGTGTGTGCTCCCCGCTTAAACCAATCAATTTTCTTATGCTTACGCATTATGCGTTATACAGAAGTGTGTGCTCCCCGCTTTATGCTTATTTCATTTTTGCACAAATCTTTGAAATATATTGTATACATTTTTAAATTTCAATATGCAATTAAGTTTTGCAACAGAGGATTAAATAGATGTTGGATAATTTGATTTAATAAAATAATCTCTTGAAATATACAGTATTTTTCAAGTAAATAAATTATATTCCATACGCTTACAGTAATAATATGTAGATATTTACATCATTTTGTCGTAATTATTTGACATACGTTTGGTTTCTCCCGCTAGGACCGAAGATGTATAGTGTATGTGGCGTAAACTATAGATTGCCAATACTAAAAATCTATAGTGTACGTCACGTTAACTATAGATTCCCAGTTTCCAGCGGGATCAATCGAACCTTGGCCCAAAAATATAGTTTCGGGTGATCTTTTTTTCTATATAAATTCAAACAAATTAGTCGTTATAATGCAGACAAAAAAACTTTTCCAAGAAGGCAAACGTATAACTTTACAACTTAATGTGCCAAGTTGATTTTTGCGCGCAGACTGTGAAGAAGTTGTGGAATTTGTAAAAGTGCAGCAACCACACACAAGTCATAAGAACTTTCAACGTTGCAGTCCTTTGATTCATCTTATACTGATTTCGAGTTCGGTTAAATACAATTTGCTGTTATAAACACCTTCAACACTTGCACGCATTGCAATTTTATATATTATTTATATAAAGATGCGATGCATGCAAGTGAAATATTTATAACAGCAAGTGCATTCATTCCTGTGCAAAACACGTATCATGATGTTCATCCTTTACAGAGAAATCAACAAATCTGTTGTATATTAAAATTAATGAGCGGTAGTGTATATAAAAAACTAATATATAAAAAATATATTTGCAATATAATAAATATTTTTATATTTCTATCCCTATATCTTTCTTTCGTCTTAAAATACTTTTTTCTTTTTTATAAACAGCTTAAGGTATTGATACGATAAATAATACTATAAAAGCTACATTTGAATGGAACGGTAATAATTTACACATCCTACCTCATAATAGCGTAATAAATGTAAACGATTCATAGGAATAAATGTGATAGTATTTATGAAATAAAATTAAGTATGAAATATACATTTAAGAAATATTACATTAATGATTATATTATCTTACGCCTTATTAACATTCCATACAGGCGAAGCAAATAGATGCTATGATATACAGGATACCTTTAAACAATTGTTTCATTTTCTAACATTTTTCAGATATATTGTAATATAATCGTATAATCGTCATATTTTTTTACACAGGAATACTAACGCAAAATAATTCGGACATTGTCACTACTAAAATTAAAAAATCAGATGAAAGGTTAAGTAATGTACATATTTTTAATTCACATATCTCTCATTTACTACCGATCATCATTTCACAATGACACATTTGCAACGAAATAGATACGCCAATACCCAAAACGTATATCTGTAATCTAAACACAAGTTTTTATATTCTGGAAACGATACAAGTGTCTTAAAATACTTTTTACTTGTTTCTAAGCAGCATAAAATATCGATACTATCCGAATAGTATAAAAGCTACATTTGGATGGAACGATAACAATTTAGACACCCTACCTCTATAATTATGTTAAAATCGTCAGATATACTGTAATATAATCGTCATATTTTTTTACACAGAAATACTAACGCAAATTATTCGGACATTTTCACTAAAAAATTAGATGAAGATAGTTTGTAATCATACAAAGATACTGTTTAGTTAATGTACACATCTTTTTAATTCACATATCTCTCATTTACTACCAATCATCATTTCATAATGATGCATTTGCAACGAAATAGATACGTCAGCAACATTCGAAACCATCGACTGAAAAAAGCATTCTTCTTGGTCTATTCGTTGTGACGGATAAAATCGTATAATTTCAGCACTCAGCAGTGGATTCACTTCAATTGATACGATTTTAAGACAGAGCTCAATTCAAAGAATCCTCGTTGTTACTAAATATGCTTACAAAGCCTGTGAATAGCGCTAATTTCCCTGCCATGCGCATATCTTTCTTTTTCGTGGCTGTATCCTGATTAGGCATCATCTTGTCCGTAATATGCTTATAAACTTTTCCATTCAGCATTAACATAAAAAAGCCGTCGTACCATCTGAAATCGTTATATATAATTGTCTTGGTATTATAATCAATTTTATAATAAGTGTTTCCTCTCCGATAGCATAAACAAAATTAATTTTAGGAAATCTAAATTATTTTATCTTTTTCTGAAAGTAGAATAAAAAACGAAACTAAAAATCAAGTTCTTTTCAAATAATAGACAACTTGAATAAATTATAATTAATGTTTATAAGAACAATTTTATATTACTATTAAAAGGAATGTTTAGAGCACTGATTACACTTACATTTCCTGGTTAGCGCTTATTTTATGACATGTTGTATTTTCCAAATTTTACTTCCAAAACATAGAAAATACCTTCCAGCCTGTGACACCACGTATACGCCAACGAACCTGCACGGTATCGTTTTCAGAATGCATTGTGATCTTTAGGATGTCAAGCTTCACGTGTGCAAACTTCATATGACCAATGAACCTTAATAGTATCAATTGCTTCGCATAACTCACAAGTCCCCTGCAATATTTTTTAAGCATATTATGAGAAAATGGAAATACTTAATGCTAAAAACTATCAATTGCTTTGAATACTTAATCAAATTAATTTTCGTTACTTCTCTAATATTGTTGATAAAAATTATATCATAATAATGGATAATAGAGACTCAATTCACAAATATTTTAGCATAACTTGCCTACAATACAAATTGCGCTACAGAACACTTTCTGTTCTTTTCAACTTTTAAAATTTACAAGAAAGCATATACGTACATACATGTGCAATTTTGGATACACCTTCCTTCTTAACGATCTCTTCGGTATCAGCTCCCTGCGGTCAATATATAGCGGCAAAATTGTATACCATATAGTTGAATATAAAATGTTCCTGCGTGAGAAAACGAGAGAAAAAAAGGACATTTATAATAGGTAATGTCACGCGATACGAACCACGCAATAGTGTTAATTCGGGATTGAAGGAAAAAAGAGGGGGTAAAGGAGAAGAGATTCTTACAATTAGAGGCAC